CCTGGTTCTGTTGTTGCCATTCTTCATTCCTGTGATCCTTGTTTTAGAGAGATAAGTACTCTTTAGAACATCTGTGATAGTGGTCTAATAATTTGTTCTCACTGTTTTTTTTGTTTACTTCCTAATGTTTAATTTTAAATTACATTAACTTTCTTAGTGATGGAAAGCTTTCCACTTGTCAGTGAAGTAAAGACTGATATTCTAATTGTTTGTTTCTGATGCTTTCCTTTTATAGTAATTGATAGCCCTAATGTGAAAAATTTAAATACTGTTTAGTGTGTGAGTCGGTAAATAGATCCTGGAATTCTAATATGAAAAGTTCAAAGTGTACTCAATTTTTGTGATATGACAGGATTCAAATTTTGGAATTGCTGTTGAAGTCATAACTTGGGCTAGCAGGTTGGAAAAAACTAAATTAACTTTGCTTTAAATATGAACTTGTAAAAGAGTGGATTTGAAGGGCTTTTGGAGAGAGTAAAAAAGGATTGTTTTTAATCAGTATAGCCGTTGTAACCTTTTTTCTCCCTCAGATTTTCCTCAAGAACGCTGTCCTGTGGTGCTTGCACCACTTTTATACCCTGAAAAACGGGACATTCTAATGGACAGGATCCTGCCTGATTCTGGAGGGGTAGCTAAAACCATGATGGAGAGCTCTTTGGCTGATTTCATGCAAGAAGTAGGCTATGGCTTTTGTGCAAGGTTGGTAGTAAGACATATTAAACTTCTGATCAGTCTTGTACCAGGCATGATGTAATTTTTTAAAACAAGTTCCTAAGTATCCTTAAAGTTATCATCTTTGCCTCTCAAAAGTTTCGTTTCTTAATTTTAATTTTCACATACTAGTGTTGGTGGCAGCTGCAAACATCGTGGGTATTAAATTTCTACTTCCTTGTCCCTACCAGTTTCTCAAATTTAGGAATCAGAGGTTCCTGGCTTAGTTGCCAGGATAGTTGTATTTTAGCTTTTGGGAGGAAGATAAGAGTGTTGAGGCAAGTGTTTATGAAATTTGTATTACTTTACACTTAATGTGTCCCTTTTCTCCTCTCTGTTCCCATCCCTCGATTTCCTCACTATGCCTTCACCTCCTGCCACCTTCCTTTCTACCATTTTTATACCCTGCTTCTTGCATATTTTTCTCACCTACCAGGGCCACCAAAGGAAACCGTTTCACCCTGTTAAAAGCAGTTATGATTTTGATGTAGTGGATTAATGTTTTTCTTAGAGTAAGTTATTAAGGGCATTAATATGCTTTGCTTGGCTAGACGTTACTTTTAATGTTTTAAAATCCTCATACAAACCACATTCCCACTTAGATGTTTGAAGTAGTGTATTTGAGTGTTGGATTTATGCCTGGCATATAACTTTAATTAAACTTGAAGGTACAAAATGAAAAGATTAGGATGCATTTTCAAGGCTTTGTATATATCAGAATAATCACACTTGCCTTGAGTGTTAAATTCTTAAAGAGTAACTTGATTCATGCTGAAGATTAAGGATAATTTACGTTTTTTATTTTTTATTTTTGGACAACTAACTGGTACAAAGATTGAACCCTGGACCTTATTGTTATCAGCATCACTCTAACCAACTGAGCTAACTGACCAGCCCTGATTAAGGATAATTTTATATGTCTTTGTGAAAGAGATCATTACTCTTGGCCCATATTTTCTCCCACTGATCTTTTAAACTTTCGTCATTTTCTTATTTATGTAGGTGATTTTTACATTCCTGGCTATATAAAAGTAACAAGAAGTGAAGCTTAGTACTCTGCCTATATTACTAAAACTAGGGATTTCACACAGGGTTCCCTTATTACCAGCATTTTTTAATCTTTGAATTGAATGTGGTAACATTTTTCTGAAGTTATATTTCTGTTACAGTATTGAAGAATGTCGCAATATAATCATGCAGTTTGGTGTTCGGGAGGTCACAGCTGCCCAAGTTGCAAGGGTTTTAGGGATGATGGCTCGAACTCATTCAGGATTAACAGATGGTATTCCATTACAGGTGTGTTGAATTCAGCCATTTTATGAAGTGAGTTAATGTCCTGTCCTTTTTATTTTATTTGTTAAATTACAGTATGATTGATTGTTCTACCAACCAGGCTGAACACATTAAATGTTTGGAATTGTTTAATTCAAGTTTTACTTCTACACAGAGTATCTCTGCTCCTGGCAGTGGGATCTGGAGTGATGGCAAAGATAAAAGTGATGGCGCACAGGCACACACGTGGAATGTAGAAGTCTTGATTGATGTTCTCAAAGAACTGGTGAGTATATGTACTCATGGTTCTTGATTTATGATTTTAGTATGATATAGCCCAAAGAAAGCAAATTTTTTTTTTTTTTT